GTGGGGGGGGGGGGGGATGACACTTTGTCATATAAGGGTGTAAGCATTCTTGTTTTGGATGGAGCAAGCAATTCCGTTAGAATGCCGATAGGAAGAGGGCGAAATAAAACGAGGATATAGGAATATGAAAAAAAGAGAGAACAGTCAAAATAAAGAGAAAGAAAGAATCCGCTATTCAAAATTCCCTTGATGTAATTGAAAGGCGAGTCCCGGGGTTGGCAATTTGATTTCAGCACCGATCAAAGGGGTGACAATCGAAAGGTAAATTCGACATCTCATCAAATGTCCTTGCGGGCCACCTTCCTTGTTCAGCATCCCTCTAGAGAGAGCCCCTCCGGAGTTATTAGACATTAGATTTAGCGTGCTTACAACTGTCGCTATACCTAATTAGGGGTTCTATTGCCGAAACAGATGGCACCCCTTAGGCTATGAGATAATGCCTCTGTGGAGAGGGCACATTGGCTGAAGAGGGAGGGGGGCTAGCATAACGCAAACCCCACCCATCCACCCCTGTGGTACTACCTATTATCAAACTCCTTTAATAATTCATCGAAATTAGATAACCCCGGGACGATCTAGATGATACCGATATCGCCAAACCAGAGAGCCAATCACCGAAAATGGGTAAATGGTTTCGTTCCTCGTTCCATGTTCCTGCCGATCTGATACCGAGTCTGCGGAACGCCCCATGTATACATATCTCATCCAGCTACTCTCAATAAACGCCATTGGGAATTCAAGCAATGGAATCGAATGACCCGCGTGAAAAAAATTCATCTCAGATGTTTTTCCTCGGGTTAGGGCCAAGCGTAGATACAATACACGATATAAGCATTTTTTGAATTCAAATAAGTTTTGTTTCGAAAAATATTCAAACGTAATAATTATTGGTATCTTCTGATTTCCAAAATCAAAAAAGGACAAAAAACACTATTGACCATATATGTTTACGCGAATTACCGGCCTAGAAGTTCAGGGGTAGAATTTTAAAAATTATCAAACATTAGGCTAATTTCTATTGAATCACCATTTCATGCGTTATGAATTCGGCCACAACATCTAACATCTTCACGTCGCTGGAGAATAATCATCAGGAGGCTACAGTTGGGATAATAAAGGAGGATCCAAAAACACTAGACGCCTCCGTCCCACTGCCGACGGCTCCCAAATTCACTAGGGGGTCGGCATTGAGAAAGACATCGGCATGGACTATACCGTTCTTCATGTTACTGCCGGTATCGATGTCCCCAGATGGAATCATCATTGGTACCGAAGAGGATGGGGAGCAGGAGCTACCCAGGCGCGAAGCGTCATGAACCTCCATCATCTAGACGTCTCCACTGAGTCGGCTAGATGATGCTGCTTCGTCTGAGGATGAAGGTCATCCCCAGAGCAACCTGGACACTCCGAAGCTACGGCAGCGAGATCGTGGCATTTTGAAGGTCCCGGGTCAACTGATCAGACGTGGAGTCATATTGCCCGTTAGACCGCGAACGGGATGAACATTTTTAAGTTTAGGTCATCCTTACGACTATCGCGTATCGCCGATTACAGAAAGGCTACGGCAACTGAATATCGACTGTATCATGTCGTCCTCGTGAGGGGTTATTCGTGACATTTCTCTATCAAAGTAATTTCGTAAAATTTTTATTTTGAGTTCCACGGCATGCTTCCATATTTGCGTGTAGCAATACTAGGGCAATGTAGTAAGGGCACTACTTTAGAGTCTAGGACCGAGCCGGTAGCGATCTTCGTAGCGTGTCGTCATTCGTTTTTCGTTAGCCGTCTTGACCGGTTCCACATAAGTAGTTGCCTCGCACCCAGTACCGAAATGTAACGTTACGGTAAGTAATTTTTGTCGAAAGGACGAAATCTTTTGTGTTATGGCGTCCGTGCATTGGCACGTCTAGATCAACTCCGTTCCGTTCCTCCCGGTTTCAGCGTAAGAGATGTTCGTGTTTCGCCAGTCAGGAACAGACTCCGGGTCTGCCACTAACAATTTCTGTACTCTCGAAATGTATTATTGAATTTAGCACTATGCCTGGGTGATCCGGAAGAATTTTTAAACGGATTCGTGACCCACGCGTCTCGTAAGTTCACGTATTGTCTTTCCGTTAATTTAAGTCCTATATATTTTCGAATTTCACGTTCGCTTGTATTTTGCGCATTTCTGTAGTCACTATCTTTTCTTTCGCTATACCAAGTTTTTACGTTCCTTTTTTTTTCATGTGTGGATCTTATATTGCGTGAATTATCGAAATTTATCTATCGAAATATTATTTTCATTCCGAATTGTTATTTGTTAATTTTACGAAACCCCGAAATAAAGGGCAAATTTGTTATATTTTCTGTTACTGAATTTCATGGATTCTCAATCTCTTTTCTTCGATATTTTACCTTATTTAACATCTGCGTCGACCCTGCCCCTCTCCCATACCTTTTCGTTCCCTTCCTGCTAGTCGGACCTCTTCGCGTATTTTTCGGGGAGTTCCTATACGTATCTTGACGCAACGATGCGTCTAGCCCCCATAAGGCATATTGCAAATTGTAGCTTCTTTTGTATTGCGTAATCTCGGGAATTGTGGGGAGAAGTATCGGGTCATGTGTACACGAAAAATCGGCTGTGTTTCTACGTACAGCTTCAGTGCCGTATGATCGTGTAATAAATTCGAGTATCTCTCTATCTTCTTCTAACTCACCTATTCATCTTTCCTTTATTTCTCGTCACAACATATAATAGAATACATACAGACTTTTAAATTTACCCCTAAAGAACACACTCAATAAAATCTCAATTCTCTCAGTTACCTATATAAAAAAAAAATGTTAATGCTTATTGATCTTGTCAATTCTCCCGAAATGTGATGTGTATACTCCCACAACCCCTTTATCTTTGCCTCTGTATTATTCACGTATGCAATTATCATTAAGCAGTAAAAACGACTAAGCGAATGAAAAAATAAAACTGTACATAAATGGGCTGGATATTAGTACGCATGTCTAACATCATCAGTAGGTAGCTATAAAGCTATAAAGTACGTAATGCTGGAAAAACATGGACAATGCTCTCGACTAGCGAAAGAGGGGTTGCAAGTACTGGCATATTAAGGTCGATTCATTTGCATCCGCTTATACACTTTTCACACTTAAAATATCCGTCACCCGCGGTTTAACTACGCCGGCGCGTTCATGAATTATGCATACGGAACACGCGCAAAGAACGTTACTCTTTGTTTCGCGACGTAAACGCGTTATCAGACAAAACATAATTCCATAACTCTCGATATCAGCCACTCCTGTATTATCTATCGTATGAAAAATCTTCTTTAAAAATGAGTATCCATAGTTTTCCATTGGAATCTTTATGTCTTATTTTTTTCCTCCTGTCCACATTTCAATAGCACATAGAACTCTTGACGTTTAATCGTCGTACACAGCATGCATTATCGCGTTATAATAATAGTGATAAACGGCATCAACGCGGCATTGCGAATTGGCGAGCGGCTGAATGTCACTATATACATTTTACTGACAAATCTCATATCGCACTGTTGATTTAATAATACCAGAATTATTTTCAACAAACGAGCATGCTACAATTCCATGAGGCGTGTCGAATATCGCGTGTAACCCAAACCATTGTTCCACCGTGCTAATTGCATAACGTTTCTACTGATAAGCATCTATCGAATATTCGAAAACTTATTATATGGAGTGAAATGAATTTCTCTTGTTAAAATTATGAAGCACGTATAATATCGTTATCTGTTGTTACGTTAGAGTCTTTGTGTTAAATACAATGCCACGTTTTCAAAGTCCCATTACATCCTATTTCCTTATTAGGGGGACGTATAAAATTACCGAGCCCGGTTTTGTTTTGGTGAAATAATTTTTATTATATCAATACCGCTAGTGAAGTTTTCTTAAATTTTTTTTATTTTATTAGGATATCTATTTTATTTATGGATAAATACGCACCAGTCGTAAATGCTCCAGCTGATGTTAATCGACCACCATGAAGAAGCACCCAAATCACGGCTATCACGGTTGCCATCCTTGCCGGAATCGGTAACTGATTATTGACACGCATCCTGCCGGTTATCGTTTCCTTCAGGATACAATTTAAATGTAGCAGAACTATAAATCTAAGCGAGATTTCACCAAACTTTTCAATTTCTCAGGGTATAACTACAGCTTCACTAATAGAATTAGCACTTCCGTGCATCCAACTGAGACGCGACCGAGATACTGCACGTTGTTTATCATTATTCATAAACATTAATTAAACACTTGTTAAGTGTCTTTCAAAATAGCTCCTTTACGCTACTGATAATAGATGACCGCACAGGTGTAGTGACACTCGCGAATTTTCAATGACTATCAAAGTCCACGTGACAGTTCGGTCAAGTCAGGTTAAAATTTTGTAAAATATTATGTCCATCCTAAACATCGTAGACAACTTCTGCTTCGTGACGACCGACGAAGTATCAATCGATAAATTATTTTGATGCAAGCAGAAGCAATTGGCTTCGTGCGGCCGTAGAAATCTCTGGAGTTTCGTAAAGTGGAGTAAGCGTGATATATTGGGTACGTGCGATTCTATTCGGCAGAGTAGCTCGTGCTGCTCCGACGGGACGCCCGGCGTCGACTGGCGTCGTTCTCCAGAACCGGTGGCAGCGTAGCCGCGCATCTCTTCCACCCCTGTAGGAATTTCACTCCAGAATGCAGGCCAATCACCTGTTAGAAAGGGCCGCCCATCGGGTTCAGAGGCGGAGCTCGCGAATTAAGATTTTCGACTTTCTTATCTCGTACGTGTGGAACCCTGGCTTGCTGGATGGTTAAGTAGCCGGCTGCTCCGCTGTCTGACCACTGACGGTAGGTTATCTATTTGTGAATATCTTTCCCTGGACACCTTCGCCAAGGTTTCTCAGGCTCATTCGAGCTCAGGCTAATTTCAGACTTGGAAATCACCTAAATATTTAATGAAAACATTTGCCGTATTAACTAAGCAAATAGTGGACAACTTTTTTACTAAGAGACACATCATTCAGAGTGTATACACATATATACTTTTTCTAATAAATTTTTCAATGGCGATTCAATGGCTAATTCGCAGGTCAACGTACCGTGTCTTGTTCGTGGATTATCTCATCTGAATCTGACATGCGAATATTTCGTCTTGTCGACTTGTTTTTTCGCAACGTCAGAACTGTGAGTTCTGACTGGTAAGTTTTAAGGTTGCTCGTGCGTTACGATACAAGATAACTAATGGTCTTGGTTTCACGAATTACGCTTCGCATTAGGGTAGTTCATTTTGAGGTAGTCAATGCGACAAGCTGTACTGTTTATTAAGACGTTGAACGCTGCGTCACCCACAACTGAATGACGGCTGTTATCGTCTGGGTCCTGGCACCCATAAATGGGCAACGTTCTACTTCGTCCAGTTGAAACGGATTTTATAAGTATATGATGGGCTTAATACATGTAAATATAATCGCTCTATGGACCTCTCGTATATTTACGACTTCAATTATCGGATTTGGGACCCGCAGGAAACTCGACCGATTTTCGCTGGCCGTTGACCGTGTTAATACGTAGTAGCAATCCCTTACTGCCCTTGAAAGTCTTCCAGAGTGATGAACCAATCTCCTTGGATGGATAAAGGAAAAGTGGGTAGTTCCTGCCTTTGACGTTGGTGATTCCTGAATCGGCTGGACTCGCACATCGGGAATAGACGCTAAGATAGAGGTAGGACGAGCTTTCATTTCCTTGATGTAAGTTTGAAGCTTAGAAGGTTTGACAGGCGTCGCGTCTGGGCTCGTCCGCAGATGCCCCCAAGCGGAAGGTACACCCCATTCCTTTAGCTCCTCAGGAGCCTCCACGGTTCAACTCCTTTGGGTATTAGTTGTCTCAACTTATCCTACCTGCAGGCGAGATTGACATCCGCTTATCGCTCGTGGAATTTTCCTCTCCAACAATTAAGCCCCTATCGGCGAACTCGAGTTTAGTACTTTCCTCGTTAGCTAAAACTTGAGCTATTACAAGAATTAGACGGTTGATATCTTCGGGTCCAGTAAGAGTTTGCATGGTAACCGAATGTTTTATAGTACAGCGGCTAAATTGTTACGCATCTTATTTTTATCGCCAGCTTACTCGATCTTTCTGCTTTATTTATACTATTTATATTATTTTTTTAAGTTTTTCGATCTTTTAACATAAATACTAGCATTTGCGTGGCGATAGACCCGGATCTTATCAGATATCGATAATTATTTTTTACAGTGCTTATACAGGTACGTAACTAAATAATCTGAAGTATTTATAAAAGCTTCGATCTAAAAGCTAATTTTATGAAATAGTATGGCGAATTTTTTTAAAAGAGACTAAAAATGAACCGTGTGCAGTCGTGCGACTAACGCGCCGTGTAAACGCGCCGCGCGAGATTTTTGCTTCACTCGGTCAGATTATACGATCCATTTTGCATGAGATCGCGGTTACGTCGACAGACAAACAACTTCGGTTTCACGAAGCACTTATCTTAAGCTTTCACAAGCGGATAGCGCGAATGATCTAGAGCGCGATAAAGGTGAAATGATAAAAAATTGTATTAGGCGTACGTGCCCGTTTGTATCACAGTGGCATTACGGTAACTCGATAGACTCACCATATAGAATGCCTATTTGTATGTTCTCTATTAACTTCCAAGACTTTTGACCGTTCTGGATTAAATTTTATACAGTTAGCACCCCAAAAATATTGGCCACCATGTAACCTGGACATCTCACGCTTCTCAAGATTGTCCATGCTTGATTTTCACATACTCCAGATATAAAAAACCCGGGCAACGTAGGACAGTTTAAGCTAGTTATATAATATGCCGCAGAGTGACATCGTCAATCCTAACAATGGGGACTTACAAAAAGAAAATAGAACGAGAACAGCACGAGATGAAATCTCCTGACAATTGGAAGGAGAATATTTTTTGCTCCCGGGCACATCTGGATCCTTATTTTCATTTTCTATACGAGAAATGATTTCCCTTCTGTCAATCTGTAACCGAAAGAATTTTTGAGATAATGTTCTTGACATTCGTCATCAGCGTTCAACGTATCTAATTTCACGCGATACCAGTAGCACGATGATTTCCCTCGAAAACAAATATTCGTTATAATACCATATGCAATCATTTTTCTTTTCTGCATTTCCTGTATAAATCTTTTAACCAAGTATATATGTACTGCCGTATTTAAAACTTTAGCTAGGCATCAGGTCTTTTCATAAGCTGATCATAGGTACCTACTAATTACTTAACTTAGCAAAGACAATCAATACAGAATTGAGAGTAAGGTTATATACGGGAGGGAAATGCATAGATAAAGAGAGTAAGAGGGACAGAGGTAGTGAACGAGGAAAAGGGTGTGAGAGGAATAAAGCAAGTTTTTGTACACGAAGAATTGAGCACCTGAAGCTGAATCTAAAATGCCTCTTTAACGACCAAATAACATTATCTACGCTCATCCAGACGTTTCGATTTCCAAACAAAACTTCGATGAGACAATTAAATCTCAAACTGTAAGTCTACTGTCAATTAACAAGTCAATACACCGTCTGGATACAGTTGTCGAGGCACTATTCAAACGATGAGACAATCGGAATGTAATTGCATCGTCCTGACTTTGCTTGAATCGCTATTCATTTTTGTAAGACTTCATTCGTCCTTTGTCTTTTGAAAATCTTTAACGAGATTACGCGAACCGCGTGCGCGAATTTTTACAAAACATTTAAATTTCTTTCTGCTTCAGTTCCTTTTGCTTTCTTATTTTTTATCTTTTCTTGCTCTTTTTTATATTTCATCTTCTCATTCCCTCGTTCTCGTTATACACCACCATCTCTTTGGTCCTTCGACCCAAATATCAGTAGGAGGAGGTGGGAGGTGGGGAGGCTCCCCTATATCTCAATCCCTACCGACTTTTATTCCACAGAGGGTGTAATTACGAAATTATATTTGAAAAATATTTCCCGTGTATGATTAACGAGTGTTCCATCCGTTGGGAAAAGCGAGAATTCCAAAAGAAGAAATTAAAAAAGAAATTATTCAGATGTACAACCACTCTGACATTTTGCACCGTACCATAGGGACTTTCGATACATCTAAGGTTTGCTGGATTTTAACTCCTTTTTTGAAGAAACTTTGTTTTGACGAACGTGTAACTCGACTGTCGAATTATTAATAAGGATTTCGGTTTTTATATTAAAATGATTGGCAAACTGAAATTGATTGAGCTGGTAAATTATTGTATATACATATGTATAGAAAAGAAGAAAATTGAAATTAGGAATAGCACAAATCATTATAGATATACATGTTAATTTGAATGAGCTAAAATAAGTAAGTATATCTTTTTTAGGCTTTTTCGAGCAAAAACTTAATTTTATTTGGAATCTGTTTAGGTTTTGGATGGACTTTGCCCTTGAAAATGTATCCACAGGAGGGGATCATGTTATTGAAGTTTACAGTTAAATAATTCAAGATGTTTTCAACATTTTCTGCTTCTATTAAAGATCGTTGTTCTGTTGTCAGAGTGAAAATGTCAAGAATTTACCGGGGAAATTTCATAACGAACGTCTTACACAATAATTAATGAAACTAATGGCACAAGTCCTGTCAATTAAGTCAGTGTCAACGAAGAAAGCATAAGCGACGTATCGCAGGGATGAGGTGGCGAAATGTCTTAAGGAATTATTGCTATTCACTTTGCAATTCCTTATCACAATATCCTCAGACAATCTCTCGTAAGCTCTTCCTCGTTCTTGTAAATAGGCGAATTTATTTTCTCTTGACTTTTAAAGCAGAATTGTATAGAAAGGTTCCAAACAATCGTCATGTCAGAAAAAAGACACGAATGTGGCAGTATTTATACGTGCATTTAACTGTCTCTGCAAGCAGATAAAAATTTCCCCAAAGAATGTAATTCTATATACATGTGAAGTACTGGTGGTTTCGATTTTCAAAATGGTGCATGTTTTTTTTTTTGAAATACACAATACAAGAAAATCACGTAGTAACGTACAGTTGAATTTTACGAAATATCTATTCGATGAAAAATTTGTTTTTTTCTTTCCTAATCTTTCTTCCGAACCACTCTCCCCACCACAACCAAATATTCTCAATTTGAGTTGCGATCTCGCGATCGCGAGACGGATCTTCAATTTTTCTAATATAAAGGATAGCCAGAACATAAAGACGCGGGTTTTGCTGGCAAGGAGCCTGGCGCTGACAGTCCTGTCTTCAGAAGCAAATTTCACTTTTTGTCAACGGGCGGTCGTTTGAAAGGAACGAATATTGGATTTGGTTATTACTTCTTCAGCCTTCAATCTCATACCCGGCGATCTCTTTCACCATGTAGACATCCACGCAATGCCTTCTTATTGACCAATATTTTCACATATTATTGTAAAAAAAATACTCCTTATGTACTTTCATCCTAACGAGTATAACGCGCATCGTAATAATTAATGTTACGGTTACACGTAATTTCGGTCTTTATCTATTCCTATAACATACATAAGATATAGGTACATTACTATCAAACTACGTCAATTCGCTTGTGCATTATCTTAATGATCATTTAGGAT